GATTTCCGTCACGCAACATGCTTATCCCGCTCCGTGATGGTGCGCGCGGACGTTCTTTTGTCTTAACCGAAGTAGCTTTTGCGTTGTACTTTTCATCTACTTCGTATTGTCCGGTGTAGACTACCAAATATTAATTACGTCAAAGCTATTTACCGAAGCACAAGGTGAAAAGTCTGTTTCTTTTGTGCAAATGGCTTTATTTTAATTTTAACTGTGTTACGTTAATTTTTCGCGCCATCGCAATAGCAAAATCATTTTTTGTTTTTTACCCGTTCAATAGATGTCCACAAGATCTTTGCGAGTAATCGCATCCCATCGTAGATTCATTAGTATATAATATGGCTTCCAAAGGACAATCCGCGAAACACTGTGAAAAACGATCGAGCATCTATATCGAGTCCAACAGATGCTTCACTAGCAGTCGAGTCAAACCGCACGGTGCGCAGCAGTGCCAAGCAAACGGAGCAAACGTCGTTACGAAACTCCAATAATCGCGCGCAGACGAGATATGGTCGAACAACGATGCAAAGCGTCATCTAAGAGAGAAGACGTTTGGCTGATAACAATGGAGTAATGAGAAAGACTAGGAGAGGGAAATAGAGAGACACGCACCTCGTAGCAGTTTGCAATTAAAGTTCGTGTCTACGCAGTTTGCCAGTGCGGAAGTGGCGCTGATGCTCCGTCGTCGTCGGCAGATTACTTCCGGCGTACGAAAATAAAGCGGAGGCGCCTCGATTTCCTCTCGCGGCAGAGAAAACCAAATTGTGGGCGTCGACTTTTCAGAGAGCGCTCGAGCGCGAGGGGTTGGGGCTGCGGCTTATTGGATCTGGATTCCCCGAATGTGATCGAATGCTCGGGTGATGAGTGGCTTGTCGCGCGCTCGATTTATTCGATAAGCCGGACGCCGCCCGCATTTCAATTTCCCGCGGCGCTTCTTTAATTAGCAGCTCGTATTTCCTTTTCTTTCGAGTCACCATCTTCCGTTGCGATCTCAATTTGTATTTTCACTGGGAGTCGAAAATTATCAAAGTAGTATTATGCGTCTGTTTACAGTGCAGCTTTAACAGTTGACGCGTTTCGCTCGAGCAAAGTGCCTTTCCCGTTCGCAAAAGTCGCCTAACTTCCATTCTCATCGGCCGTCGATATCAATAGTCAAGCAACAATGCACGTATGCCCTTCGAGAGTAAAGTCCACGTAGAGCGTGGCGCAGTTGATAATTCATCCGGCGTCGAGCCGCGGCGGGCAAGCTCGGAAAAGGAATCGAGCGCACACGCGTGCGGAGAGTACGCATTACGGCGCGGCGATCCGGGACGACGGAAGAAAAAAAGAGAAGAAAGGTAAGAAGGAGCTAACGCGCAGCGAGAGGTTGGCGGGCGTGCCGTGTTTGGTCAAGAAATACTGAATCTGGTTCGCCGCGAGGCTCGTGCACCTCCACGCTCGCCATTTACGGACGATGCATATCTCCGCCACTGATCTATGCTTCTCTCCGTCTCGTGCGCCGCACGTCTGTTATTGCTGTGATTTCGGTGCCGGCAAGGCGCAGCCCTCCTTTTTGTTGCGTATTACTATGCGTATTACTACGCCTACGCGGTTTCTCTCGTAAACGCAGACCGGATGACACGAGCCTTTGATGCGTGCCTTTGTTTCCCTCCCTTTCTCTCTGGACGTTTAAGAAACTCGCAACGGCAAGTCAATGTCTCGATACAAAAGCTTCGTGGAAAATTCGCGTATTCGTAAAGCACCGAACAGAAGTATTGCTCGACATGACGCGAATGAAAGGCGTCATTCCGGAGGCAAGTAAGTATTCAATGGCGACATCATGGCTTTTAATAAAATCTCGTTATATTCTTTTCCTAGATGTCTATATAAAAACAAAATCGAAAAAAGCCACGGCAGTAGACGATGACCTACATCCAAACTTCCTCTCGTCGCTCGCGTGGCTATCTCTTTCTGGCGTCCCAACGAAAACTCCCTTTTATCTCTCTCGCGCAAAGATACAGGCTCTCTCTTCCCCGGAGGTGTCGTGATAATGACCAATGCTTCTCTTTGAAAAAAAAGACAGAGAGAGAGAGAGAGAGAGAGATAACCGTGCGCGTGTATAATGTCCGAGAGAGGAAAAAATAAGAAAAACGTAGATGGATTAAAAATACACGCTGCGACACGCGCGAAAAACTTTTTATTTTCTGACTCCGGGCTCTCCGTCACACTAGCCTCGTCGCACCGGAATTAGTTCCACGAAACGACGTCGCATCGCGGCCGCATAAGACGACGACCACGTCCGAGGGAAGTGTCGTGGGGGGCAGACGTTGTCCTTAGCTTTTCTTTGTTTTCGAGGGTACATCCGTTCGTTCCTCGTCTGCGATACGCGCGGCCCGATCGATGTACGCCGAAAACACGCGGTTTCGATATTGGCCTGCATTTGCTTTGAACGCCGTGGCGCCTCGTCGTCGTCGTCGCTCGATAATGTACTTCCGAAAAAGCGAGCCATTATTTAACAGAAATTTTTTCAGGCAAGCCTCCTGCAAGTCCGTCCACCGAGGAATCTCCTCTGGATATGCCGAGAGCTCATCAACTGAATTAACGAAGCGTGCGATCCGACAAACGCGATCAATCAATTGCCCCGTCGACTCATTCGCCATCCTCGCGAAAGGCGAAAAAACCGGAAACTCACTAGCGCAAGAAATTTCGAGAATTCGAGCAGTCACATCGGAGTAGGGAGAGAGTTAGAGAGCGGGAGAGAAACGATTGGGGATATGTAGCCACGCGGTCGAAAAATAGAGAGAAGCTAATAACGAAGTAACTAGTAATTGTTTTCTAGGTGCGCTGCATTTGCACGTTGATTCGAAATATTGCGCTGATACGTCGCGCTTCAATTAGCTCGCGATCGTTACAGTCAATTTGACATTTGACCGATGAGATCTCGTTCGATCGTTGAGTCGCATCAATTTTTCTCCGACTACTACTTTCTTTCTATTGAATTTTTATTGCGCGATATATTTTCGAATCAATAAAGACGTCTCGGAATACAGCTTTCTCTGTCTTTATCTGTCGTCTAAAAAAAGAGAGTTCCAGTTTAGCCGCTGCGCGCAGATCAAATCTTTCAAATACGTTATATTCGTCGACGTGGCGCAAAACGTCGCCGACAAAGTTACCGGAAAGTTTGTTAGCATGGGGGCTTTCAAAGCCGCGCGAATTTTCGGTCTCGTGTCGAAAGTGAACGAAAAAAAAGGAAAGGAAAAATGTCGATGACTGTATTTTAACGAAAGTTCGCTTCTTACTTTCACTCGATATTTTTGTTGAAGCGTTAAAGCGACACGGCCAGGGATCGCGAGGCTATTAACGCAAGATAAACAGAGTTTATTAGTGCAGTGTGCGCGTATAGGCCCGGAGAAAATAGCGCGACGATGTATGGAATACGCGAGGCGCAGCGGCATCGATTTACCGCTCAAGCTGGCGCGGTGCGCGCGTTGCTGCGCGTGCGTGTGTACCGTTTGCGCGGAGTGTGCTTTATGCTTCGCTTGCCAAATTCCGAGATGTTGCCTGCGTTTGAACAATCTTCAAATTACTATCTACCGTTGGCTCTCCCTTCGCCGAGCGAGATGTGTTACTCGCTGAACCGCTGCGGCGCATTGCGCGCGTCCGTTTCTTTTCGAATGCGACTGGAAAAGACCGTACGAGCCAAAAGTAAAATCATTGCCATGGTGGAGAGGGGAGAATAGAAGGAACGTCCGTCTGAACTTGCGCGGCGCTAAAATGAGTTTGACCATCGAGCGAGGGGTCACAAGACGGATGAAACGTTGCCGATCAAGCTCACCAGTTTCATCGTATCAATAGCCTCTCGCGAACAGGCGAAAGAAAAGAGCCATCACCGTGCACAGCGGCAAGAGAAGAGAAAAGAAGGTCAACGACTCTAAACGTGTGGCGCGCAATCAACGCAACAAAAGTGCGTCTCGAGTGCAGGCAAAAAAGCGCCAATTGGATACTCGCGGGAGATAACGATGAGCTCGACCTAATTGTGACTATGCCCTTCGCCCTTTGATCGCCCAAGCATATGGCGCGTCGCGTGCGTTGTCCGTTAAACAATCCTCGACGGCGACGTCGACAATTAGCGCGCGTCGCTTCGCGGAACTCGTCGGCAACATTGTTATTCCAGTGTAGGAGCATCCTTCCTAAAACACACTCACGCACGCGCACTCCTACGTTGGTTTGCGAGTCCGAATGAATAATTAAATAGAGCGTTGCTTCACTCCCAGAAGAGTTATTCCAGCTTTTAACGGACTTTGTTTTTCGCGCTCGAGTAATGGCCTGTTGACGCTCTACTCTTCATGCTAATTCTATTTACATCGTTTTATATGCGCTTCTCTTCCACTTTTTTATCATCTCGCACGCGAAACTTCCTTTTTCATTCTGAAATATCGTAAAGAACCATGTTAGCTCGCCTACCGATGCTTTCTAAATGTATATATATATATACATGGAGTTTTGTACTTCGTTCAACGAAATATATTTATTAGCTCGCTTAAAAAATTCATAAAGCGCGAACGCGAAACTTGTCGTCAACGTGTTTATACTAATTCATTGTATCGATTTACCTTCTTCTTAAAGGTAGAACATTAAGACCTGGCATTTTTAAACACACAATAGAAGCTAGAATTCTGGGGAAAATCAGCGATCTCACGCAAACCCACTTGGGTAAACAAATTAATTATCTATTCGAACGAATACATCAATCTCACTAGTTAATAATCCCAAGTATCCACGATGACGGTCTTTGATTAAAGAAGGTTAATTTGGCATTGGAACCCTCCTGACTCGACGGAATCGAAAGCTCCATTAAGAGGGATGCCACCGTATTTAATAACGGGTCACTCGAGTCGATCAATGACGCGTCGCGTCGTAAACTTGAGGAATCGATTGTGCACCGAAATTGCGTGCAACACATACACACACTGTCGACGTATTTCCTAAACTGAACGAGCGAATATTGGCTTTTGTTGCAGCAAAACTACCTGATGAAGTTTGGCTACCTGCCGCAAAGCGACCTCGAGACAGGCAACCTCAGGACGGATGATCAACTCAAAGATGCCATACGAAGTTTGCAGGTCAGTATTTTCCTTTCGTTGGACGAGTGGCGCGAATGCGACGCGAGAGCCGGAATTTTCTTTTTGATTTATAGCACGGAAGCTCGAACGGAACATCGATATTTTCTTCTCGAGTACGTTATCTCGGCTGCTTGCTTTCGCCTGCAACGTTGATGATGGGGACGGCCAAATCCAATTGCTCGGTCGGTATTCTCGTTCGAGAGTTGCGCGCGCTAAAAATCGAATCTACATCTCCGATCGACGTTCTCCCGGTAATCCATAACGACGTTAATTCTCCAAGGGGAAAAGAAAAGACGTCAAGGAAGCAATTTCGGATTGCGATCGTAAAGAATCCGGGAGAAGGGAGAGAGAGGTGGCAAGATGGAAAGGTCGGGGATGGAAGAAGCCTTAATAAGAGAATCCAGCGGAAGAGAGAAAGAGAGAGAGAGAGAGAGAGAGAGAGAGAGAGAGAGAGAGAGAGAGAGAGAGAGAGAGGAATAACCCGCCTATATATCCATCGGCGACAACAGCCAACTCAGTGGGAGTTGGGGGCAAGAGGAAAAGAGGAGATGGCTTGCAGTAAAGTGTCGTGGACGCCATTACCACCGCGACGCTTCTGCCATCGGCAGAGAGGGAAATTCCTCGCGTGCACCTTGCGTATGCCGAGAGCGGCGAGTGGCGCGAGCTAGTGGATTTTCATGGAAATCGCGGCGACTCGGGCCGTCTTAATGCACACCTTTCGGCCGGGATAATGGCGCGGCTTATGTTTCTCCGGCGCGGCTCCCGCTCGACTGATGGCCAGCTTAACTCGGCGCTACTGCCAGCCGATGAATTATGCAATTGGGATGCTGCAGTCGCGCCTCGCTTTCGCCTCCTTTCCGTCGCGCCTCACTGACAAATTTGCGACCTGCCGCGGCAGGCGCGACGAATCATCGCCAAGGATTCGAAATGATCTCGCGTCGCCGCTGCCGTTACGCGAAACTCGCAGCGGTCTGGCGATCCCGGGTAGCCGCGAACGAAACGCACGAGCGGGAGGATCGACAATTCCAATCTCGCAAATGAAATTCTTATGGTGTGTCGGTCTCTCGCGATAATTTTCCGCGGACTTGCGCGCGTTCGCGTTTCTCCGATGCGGCTCCGCGCATCGCTCAGTGGAGTGTGTGGAGCTACGCTCGTCTTTGCCCGTTGAGCCGGAGAGGGCCGAGTAATGCCGGAAGCTTGCGCCGAAGCTCGTTACCAACGGATCAAAAAGCGCTCGATGTAGCGAGCGAACGCGCCCCGGCTATATAGCCCTTCGAGTCGGCTTCATGCGGATCGACCCCCTGTTAATTCGCTTCTTTTCCTCCATTCCTCTCTTTCTCTCTCTCTCTCTCTCTCTCTCTCTCTCTCTCTCTCTCTCTCTCCGCGTCGATAAAAGGATGTCCAATATTGATTTTCAACTTCGATACACGCTGTAGGCTTGCATTGCCTCTCTTAATCCCTTTGCTACGGATTCTCGTTTCACCTAGTATCCATTGGTTTTTTGATTTGTCGGCAATTACTTAACTCTGGGCATAGAATGCTGCTTGTTTTTAAGGATCTAATGCCGACGCTCTTACTCATATTGAAAGCGACAAAAATTATACCGCGTTGTGCTATTTTTTACTCGCTCATGTCGTTATTTTCCATTAAATATTCAATAAATAACGAATAACGCCATCGCCGCGTTATTTTCTAAGCCGTTAAAGAGCCGAGGGAGCAAACGCAATGTCAATTGACAAACGTTTAGAATTCCGTTCGTACGTTCCGTCCTATTGTGTAAATGCATTATATTTAGACTCGATTTTCCGTAAGCGTTGAACCAGTCGTGCATTATAGTAAATATATCTTCCATGAGCCATTGAAAAATCCATATTCGCAACGAAGGGAACACTGAACAGCGAACACTCGTGGAATTGTTCACGGTACTGATCAGTCGGAAAAAGCCTTGCGATTGGGATCTACGTCATTAATTTCATTAAAATCAGAGATCCGACGGTTTTGTTTGAGTTTCCTTTCAACCACCTCGTCACATACGTCTAATTTGCTTCTGGCTTCTCGTCCATTGTGCAAAAATTCGCCCGCGAAAACTCATTTGCCGGGTTTGTTTTCGCTCTAGTTTGCGCGATTCGGCACAAAAGCGAGCATCGCGGAATTATTAATTGGACTCGCGCGTCGCTTCCGCCTCGTTGTCGCACAGTTTTTCTTCTTTTTTTTTTTTTCGTTTGGCGAAGCCGCACGCCGACGAAAGCTGCAGCTGCCGGCTCTGGTTAGAGAAATAAACGGTCAGCGCGAGTGAGCGACGATTGCAGCCACGAAGCGTGACGCGCGCTGCTTGTTTATTCAGAGATTCGGCGGCATCGAGGAGAGCGGCGTGCTGGACGAGGCGACGCAGAGGCTGATGCTCAGCCGCCGATGCGGCCTACCGGATAAGCCGGATCTGCGCCTGCAGGACTACCCGAGCAGCGGCTCGCTCGTTCGCCACAAGCGCTACACCCTGCACGGCACGCCCTGGAAGCATCTCAATCTCACTTGGAGGTAAGTGCAGTCCACTGTTAATTGATGCTGCGCCGTACATGCGTGTCGGCAAACCACGCGCACCTCTCCGGAGAGGCTTTATACGGCTGCCTAGCTCCAGTGTCATGAATTTGCAAACTTTGGGCTTACCACGGCCGAGAGATTGCTTGCCAATCGCCGATTGTTCTCGAGCAAGAGACATCGCTACGATCGTCGCCGCGCAACGTAAACATTTCGACGATTCAATCTGGTTAAAGGACGACGTCCCCCCTCGCTCTGCCCCTAGTGCTGCACAACAAAGTTCGCCCCTGCGCAGAAATCCAGACTAATGAGGCCCGACAAAACTGAATTAGCCGAGAGCGCGAACTTTTGGATTTCGGAGCAAAGTTCGGCTCAACGAACTTCAGTGGGCAAAACGAATCTCGAATAAACAGCAGGAGATTCTCCGGGGAGGGAGCGTTCGGCAGGTTGCCGGGGCTGTGCGCGCCGATAACTCGGCCACGGCTCTGTCGAGAACTCGATAGCAAAAGAGTAAATATAAGTAAGGGCTGTGGCCGAGGGAACAATGCCGCGGCGAAACGCGCGCGCGTAAATTGCGCAGGCCGGTAATCCCGTCACGTAGAGGGCGGATATTCCGCGCACGCGATGAAAAAAACAAGAGAAGCTCAGCTTTCCTCTCGCCGCCCGTGTATATTATCTCGTCCTCGCGCTTTCCGGTCTATTTGCGCGTGGTTCTCCCGTTCGCGGCCAAATCAGAATCTCGCGCGATTGCGCTCCGCGTGCCCCGTGAATTATACCTCGGAGATCGGAGATGCTGATGAGTTTGGAGGATCAGTCAAAGGACCGTTGGTCGAGCTTTCCAGGGTGGGATTCTCAAGTTTTACGGATAAATCAGCGTGCTCCTCGCTCCAGATTCCTCGTCCGCGAGGTCATCCACTAGCCTTGCCAAGATTTTCACGCTTGGACCGCGACACAGCAAAAAAGAAAGCCCGCTCCTTCATCTCTGGCCAGTTCGTCCGTAGCGTCTCCTCTCTAAAGCTCGACGACTGAATTTCGCGCGCCGGAGACGCCGCCGGCACGTCCCTTTGCCTGTTCTCGCGGCGGCTGCCTCGTAATAACGAAATACCCCGGCGCGCGCCATGGAGGAGGAGGATACAATGGAGCCCCTTCGCTTTGACTGCCTTCCAAGTCTCCGTCGCTCCTGTATCGCCCGCATTTTTCTTGATCGTCGCTCCTCCCTGTGGTTCGGTTCCGCGCCGCCAAAACTCGGCCGACTCTCTGCCTCCGTTGATCCAAGTTCCACCGGACCCCCCGATCGGCCTACGATCCCGAGAAGCGATCGCGCAACCGAGCGGACTCTGCTGTGCTCTCGCTTGACGCCCTGCCGACGGTAATGCGCCACTCGAGAGATTAGCACAATGGGGGCTTTGTTTGGCGCGGAAGGAAGGAGGGAGGGAGGGAGGGAGGCAAATTGAAAATGCGCGGCCGACGAGAAAAAAAGAACGGCGATGCGCTCGAACGGCATTATATTCTATTGTCTTTAATATGCGGTCTTTTTTACTCCTCGTGCTTATCCCCGCGCGGAGACCGAGCGCAAAAATCTCCTTAACTCACTCCTTTATACGCGTGGCGAACAATGAGGCCTTATAATTGCATTGGAAGATGCAAGATGTCATTAAAGGATAATCTGCCGAGTCTAATAATGCTTGCGAGGGCAAAGTTTGCTCAATGAGTTTGGATAAGTCCAAGTTTCTTGCGGCACGCTGAAAAAGAAGACGATGCAGCTTAATCTACGTCTTTTGTTCGAGCACTGCCATTATAAATTTCGAGCGTGATTAACGCACATATCCAACTGTCTTGTACTTCTTTTTCCGTTGATAAGCGCGGAAATGAGCGACCCGAGAAAACTGCAGCGCAAAGATACTCCCAATGAGACTTTCACTTGTTAAGCAAAAACTTTTCAGGGCCACACTTTCAGGGCTCATAAATTCATTGGATATCGACGTCGAAACTCGTTCCCATGTAACGGCAGTAAAACAAAAGTTTGCCCCATGATCGAGAGTTTGTGAGCTTGAGAGGTTTGTGGCGTCGATAAAGGCGGCATTCGTGTGGCACTGCTTCTTTATTGGTTGCGATGCGTCACATGCAAGCGGTCGGTTAGTCAGGAACACTGTATGGAGCTGTATGTGTGCAACGGTGTAGGCCTAAATAAAGATGTCGCTGCAATTGTCATCGTCATCGTCATCAAAACACGATACCGTCGATGCTTCGACGGTAAACAATTTGTCGTATTTGTAAAACATCTTCACTGCGCAAATATCTTGTCCGCTCGTTTCTTGTCAAATGACCGTAATAAAGTTCAAAAACTGCGTGTTACAGGAAAATTTAAATGCATCGAGTAGCACGGCCCGACAGCGCAACTTTGATAATTTCGTTTAGACTAGACGTCGTTCGCGCAGAGATAGAAGCGACAAGTAGCGGTATCAAAGCCGAAACGAGGTTAAAGTATGCATTTCAAATGTCCACGTAATGCGCCCGGCGCGATTATTTTTCATTAACGACGCGGCCGGGCGTTTCTCGGCAATCATTCGTTCGGAAAACGAAAGTGCATTACATTTCTTCTCCTCGCAGCCACCAAATAAACGAGTGAACGAATAACCGCCCCCTCCCCTCCGCGCGGCTGGGCATCCGAACGTTGGCAGCGTACGAATCGTAAAAATCGAACGGCTCACCCGCGCTAATTGCTCGGCAGCGAAATCGAGCAAAAAAGGAGACGAAAACGTAGAAGCCGACGATTCGCCACTTGCACACGTTGGTATCGCGCGCGACGCTCGCACCCTCTCGTTGGGCAGCCATTTTTTTTTTTTTTTTTTTTTTTTCTCGCTTTTTTTACGCGCGAATCATGGTCGTCGTGGCGGAGCTCCGACCCTCCCCCCTTCACGTTTAGCTTTTTACCATCGTACGTGCCGGAGTGCCGCGGTGCTATTGTCAAACGTGCATGCGCGTAGGGCCATTGCCAAGGGCGCTTGCCGCTCGTCATTTTTCCGCCTCACATGAATTTTTATAGTTACGCTCTCGCGGTCGCGCGTGCAAAGATAAAAAGGCGCATTTCGCGCACACTGTTCGTCTATGCTTCGCTGCGAGGAAACACGCTTGCACGTCCCGCTCGCAGCGATTTCGCGCGCACCTCGCGGGAAATCAGTTTTCACTCGTCGCGCGATTGGCAAGTGGACACGCTCGTGAGAAAAGATAATCGCGTTCGAGCGTTCGCCGGAGCGCGTCGCGCGGAAATTGTTGTTGGACAAAGTAAGAAAAGGGAGCACGAAAGAGAGGCGCAGTCGAGGACGACGTCAAGTAGCGCCATTGTCCTTGGGCAATATCCCGCAGCGGGTGCATAAAACCAAGTTTGAGAAACGATTCGCGAGGGAAAGACGTCGTGCGGGAGATCGAGGGATGATAAAAATGCTCGCGCGAGCAAACGTAAAACGCGGCCCAATTATACCGGCAACGGAAATTATCCGGCCTCGTTCCTTCGTTACGAGCTGCCTGATTTCTCGGCCTCGCGGCCAGACTTTGCTCCGCGCTATCGTTGCCCCAGGTTTTTCGTGAATTTACACAGTATCAAGGGTTCCGGCAGTGACATCGACTTCATTATGCCTGCCCCGATGAATATTTCATAACGGCGATACGCGGAATGGCGCTTGATATGATGGAGCACTAATGCTATTACGAAATAACACGCACGCGGCGTATTGGTTGTACGTCGTTGATTTTGATTGCGCTCCCATACAAAAACAAACTAGGCTATCGATTAATTTGGCAGCGCGAACGCGAACGCACGGCGGACCTAACGAGCTCGAGGTAAAGTTCACCGGCGGAATATTCGCGATCGCTTCGATCGTGCCTTGGCCGGCCGATGTCCCTTCTGCCAAGCTCGCGGTGAACCGCATATCTTCGGGTCGGGACGCACAAACATCCCTCGACTCCTCGTCGTCGTTCTCGGTCTCTTCGCGGAGCCACTTGTCGCGCGCAGTCTCGCGGACGAGGAAAAGTAGGTCAATTCCGCGCTACTCGCGCTTATTCTTGCCGTCTCCTTCTCTGCTCTTCGACTCCATTTCATTTTCCCTTGAGTACAGCCAGCTGCCTTTTCCTCGACGTCCGTTAACCCGATGCTACGAATTGTATACCGGCGTCGTCCGCCGCTTCGACGCGCTCACACGCCGATCGCGCACCAGCCGTCGCACGCGCTTCCCTTTTTCTTTCGACTGGCAAAGCAACGGGGACGGCGTTAAACTTTCTCCCTGAGGCCCGACGGCAAATCTCTTCTTGTCTTATGAAGTATGCACGCGAGCGTCGAATGACACGTTAATTAAACGACGAGCAGATTGCCGTTCTCTCGTAAAAGCTGTAATTTATGGCGAGACGACGGGCAAAGCAGAAAGAAAGCTCTGGCACTAGCAGTAGGTCGGCTAAGTTAAAGAGCTTTGGGGATCGCATTTTATTGCCTTATCGGCTTTTCATTTTCTCGACGACGCTCTCCTCGTCCGTTTCCCGACAGAAAGCGATTATAATTTGTAAATTAGTTTGAAGAAGGAGGCTGGATCGATACGTTGAAAATAGGTTGCTTGGAGTACACTCGAAGCTCGTAATCGCGGCGAGTGCAATTGTCAGCGGGATGTATAAGCAGCGAAAGTGCGACAACAGCTCTTTCGCTTGCTAATTTTACCCTTGCTCGCGACTCCTTCTTTCGTCTGTTATTCTTCTCGAGCTCGAGTACCACAAGGTCACGCGCGTCGCGGTCGATCCGTCGGCTTCCGTTCCTCTTCGTTCGATGGAATCAATCGACGTCCGCGGGAGCAGCGGCGAGCGAGAGAAATCGAGAACGGCCTCGGCGCCGGTGTTGAGCGTTGACCGGGGCTGGCGATCGCGCGCAAGTCGAGCTTAATAACATGCTCGAGTCATTGAGCTCGACGGCCGCGAGAGAGCAAAATCGCGGCGCAAGCTCGCCTTCCGTTCCACTC